GTTTCCTATATGTATGCCAACTGCTGCTAGTGCAACCCTCTCTTCTTCATTCCTCATTCTTCACACACGCTGCTAGTCTTGTTGCTGAGTCTGAATCTGTCTGACCTCCGTCCGTCGAGGGTGAGTGTGCTCTTAGCACGGACGTCCTTTAGGACAGACTAGAGGAGTTCCGATGTTTTGCTGCTGCTTTACCTCATCTCGTGTCCATGGTGATTGCCCCTGAGGGAGACCCGGATGCACCAGACATCCCCACTCCGCGCTCATACGCAGAGGCGATAGAGGGTCCCTACTCCTCTCAGTGGCAGTCAGCCATGGACGCAGAGATGGCTTCCTGGAAGTCCACAGGCACCTACGTCGACGAGGTTCCCCCACCTGGGGCGAACATCGTCAGTGGTATGTGGATTTTCAGGGTGAAGCGGCCGCCGGGTTCTCCGCCTGTCTTCAAGGCGCGTTACGTGGCTCGAGACTTTAGTCAGCGGCAGGGAGTTGACTACTTTCAGACCTTCTCTCCCACCCCGAAGATGACCACTCTTCGGGTGCTGCTGCACATAGCCGCTCAGCGCGACTACGAGCTTCACTCTCTTGACTTCAGCACTGCTTTCCTACAGGGCAGCCTGCACGAGGAGATCTGGCTGCGCCGCCCTCCTAGCTTCACTGGGTCGTTTCCTCCTGGTACCCAGTGGAGCCTCCGGCGGCCAGTCTACGGTCTCCGTCAGGCGCCCCGTGAGTGGCACGACACACTGAGGACTATACTTGCGGCTCTTGGGTTTGGTCCTTCTACAGCCGACCCGTCGCTGTTTCTACGCACCGACACCTCTTTGCCGCCGTTCTACATCCTCGTGTACGTCGACGACTTGGTCTTTGCTACTGCTGACACTGCTGGACTCGCCCACGTGAAGTCCGAGCTGCAGAAGAGACACACGTGCACACACCTGGGTGAACAGCGCAACTATCTTGGCTTGCAGATCACCCGGGACAGAGCACAGCGCACCATTACCTTGACTCAGTCACACATGGTGCAGCAGGTCCTTCAGCGCTTCGACTTTACGTACTCCTCGCCTCATGCCACCCCTCTGTCTACTCTCCACTCGCTCTCAGCTCTGCCTTCGGATGAGTCCGTAGAGCCGAGTGGCCCGTACCCAGAGCTTGTTGGCTGCCTCATGTACCTGATGACCTGCACTCGACCTAACCTTGCATACCCTCTTAGCATCTTGGCACGCTATGTTGCTCCTGGGAGACACTGACCAGAGCACATGGCTGGAGCGAAGAGGGTGTTGCGCTACTTGTGCAGTACGTCGGGCATGGGGCTCGTGCTTGGAGGGCGGCGTTCAGTGGTCCTCACTGGTCACGCAGACGCTTTTTGGGCTGACAACCAGGCTACGCAGCGGTCGTCACAGGGTTACACCTTCAGCCTTGGTTCCAGCTCTGTTTCGTGGCAGTCTACCCGATCGTCTTCTATTCTCGGCTCCAGCTGTGAGGCTGAGATCTACGCAGGGGCCATGGCTGCACAGGAGCTATGCTGGCTCACCTACCTGCTGACTGACCTAGGAGAGCCGCCTCGTTCTCCTCCAGTTCTGTACGTAGACAACAAGGCCATGCTGGCCTTGTGTCGGGAGCACAGACTGGAGCACAGAACGAAGCACATTGCTCTTCGCTACTTCCTTGCTCGTGAGCTGCAGCAGCGTGGTCAGCTGCGCCTTGCCTACGTGGCCTCTCAGGCCAACACTGCTGATATCTTTACTAAGGCACTTCAGCCTTGTGATCATCAGCGCTTTTGTACGATGCTAGGTCTTGTGCCTACTTGGCCTCACTTGCTCACTTCTTGACCTTGCTTGTACTGTGATTTATCTATACCTGCACTTGCTTGTTTACCTTTATATATAATCTTGCATGTGAGCTGGCCTTGTGGCATTGAACTTTTGCTCGGAATGTATGGTGACGTTGTGATCCACCCTGAGCTTGCTGTGCTTTGCTTGACTGGTCTTGTGACCTCTTGTTCTCCCCCACTTTGCCTATGGGGGTGTGTCAAACATTTATGTTATAGTCTTGCTAGGCTGTAGTGGGGAAGACAGTATGGGGTACAGTTTTCTTGGGTTACATATTTGTACCCAACTCCTTTTCTAGTCCACCATTCCTTGTTCTTTCACAATTTAAACTAAGTATGTCCCGATTTTCCCACTAAGCAGTATGGGGCTGTCTACCGTAGTACCCTCCTTATTCGGCCGGGTGTGGTCGATTGCGTGAACCGGCACAATCACTTGGTGAGGGTCGGTCGGGTCGGGCGAGCGGCGTGACCTGTCAGTAGAGGGCCTGTCTACTACTGATTCCTAGCATTCCGTGCTGCTTGGTCAGTTTCTGCTGCTTAGCTTCCCCCTTTCCCTTAGCGTTTTCCGGGCATTCGCTCTTACGGTGTCCCGGCCGAGTGCACGCGAAGCAGCACCCTTTGAACGGTGCGGCGGCGGCATTCGCGGCGACGGCACGAACATAGTGCCCTCGTTTGTCCCACGAGACCGATGTCCCCAGTTGTTGCTTCCGTAGGACCCCAGTCTCGGTCGGCGGAAGAAGTCAAGTTTCTCCGCCATAGCGAGAATTTCTTGAAAGTCGGTGACGTCGCGAAGCTGGATTTCCTGAGCGATGTCGTGCTTCAGGCCGTCGATGTGGCGGTCGATGCGCTCGCTCTCGTGCATGTAACCAACTTGCTCGCATAGCGCCAGAAACCCGCTCGTGTAGTCCTGGACGGAACCGAGTTGGCGCCAAGTGCGGAGCTTCTGTCGCGCCGCGATCGAAGCCACAATTGGCTCAAACCGAGCGCGCAGACCTGCGCACCACGCGTCCCACGTGCGATATTGGGGCACCTCCTTGAAATAAGACGGCGCCCAGGGTCAGGTTTGTCCTTCCCGTGTCGGTAGAGTCGCGTAGTCCACCGGCTTCGTGACGACGACACGCCACCAATCCATGGCGGGTCCTCGCAGCAACGACACGGCGTAACAGATTTTTGCTGTATCCTCCGAGACGTAGTTGGCAACGAAGGAAACGTTCATCGTGAACAACCACACCTGAACGGTAGGACCACCCCGTTGACTCGGGTCGAAGCATGGCGGACGCTGCGGCTTCTGCAGCATCAGCAACGGCAGTGTTGAATCGCCGGCCGGTACGGAAATCGTGGCTCGAGGCTGACTTCTGGCCGCATTCGTTGCTTCGGGGTGTGTCGTGCCGTGGTCGTCGTCTCCGTCGTGGCGGACGACGCCATCACTGGCCGCGCTCGTGGGTTGCCCCACGCTTCCATGTTGCGATGTCTGTGGTGCGGGCTGTATCGGAGTGCCAGGTGTTTGGGATTGTGCTTGCTGTGCTCTTGCGATGTCATTTTGCAGGGACGTGCATTCTGCCGCGATTTCTTCAGAGCTTTCGCGGATTTGCCGCAGCAGTTCGTTCAAGTGCTCCTACGTGAGAGTGGGGACGTCGATGTGCTCGGCCATTACGAAGGGCTTCGGCTCGGCTTAACCTAGGCGCAGTCGTGGCTGCACGCGTTTACAAGAGAACGCGAGGACAGCGGCTCCTAGGGGCTAAGGTGCGTGAGTCCCTTCGAGTGAGAAATCAAAAGTTGAATTCCTGGAGTGCGGAGATGCGCGGTCCGAAGAGAGAGAGGCTCTGAATACCAAGTGTTTTGGGTGCAATGAATCGAGGTAGCGAGGATTGCACTAAGGTGTCAAACGAGTACAAACTGTGAGCGAAGGCATGAGCGAACATTTATATGCGAAACATGCAAACGGTAACGCGGTGCGTGCGAGCTAGCTAGTGCTATGCTGGCAGCGAGGCTCGGGCTAGTCCCGAAGCGTAGGCCGACACGGTCGGGCCAGCAGTGCGAGGTTTGGTGAAACAGTGCACGCGAAGTCGGCGAAGCCCCGTTAACAGTAACGGGCGAACAACAGCTGCTGCTGTACGTGATGTTGTAGTGCGCGCTAAGGAATGTCGAGAAAATTCCTTACAAGAACCCTATTTTCCGGCCTGTCATGACCCTAGTAGATTCAATCCAAATACTACGTGCAGGTGCATTGAAGTCCTTTACTGAAGATCACTAAAAAGAATCTTCCATGTCTTGTTCCAGACGGTGCCATTCGGCGTTTCCGTCCCACACCTTGCACTGTGCAGCAGACCGGCCATCCTTGCAGTGCGGTTTCAGGTCACATTCAAAACGCCCAATCTGAAATCAACCTCCAGATGTTCGGTCGAAAGTTGCACACATCACATAACCGTGAATACACAGCTGAGCCCCACGAGATGAGACGAACCGTAAACGAAAAGCAGAACTCGTTTGCTACCATGCGAACCCTCTGTGGATTCTAGACAAGACAACCGACAAACCAACCACCCAACCAGCACTCCTTGTCTGTTTGTCTGTTATCAGCTGGTTGGATTACACACAGAGTACAATATGGATTGGATTGGGTTGGGTTGGGTGTGGTGGGGTGTCAGCTGCAAAAGAGGAAGTGAAGCTGGCCCTTTTTCTATCTGGGCGCATCACTGCATTTCCCAGTGGAAGACTGCATTGCAAGCTAGTGCTAGAACCGCTGTCAGTCATGCTCACCAGAATGTTTCAGATGGAGCCTAGAACGCGATGGTTCGCTTCGACGATTGTGATGCTCCTAGCCTTAAACCTTGTGGAATCCCCGCTTCGCGGCGAGGCCGTTAAAGTGTCAGAAGTTATCAGAACTCTTAACATGTACATTGAAAGGGAATCCTCGCCGTTGACGGTTTCTGACGTGGATCTCCTGCAGCGCTTGCTCATCGTCAGCGGTATTACCGAGCTGCCAAGAGGCACGCTCCTGCTTCCGGACAAACGCGCGTGGAACAGTGCGCGGATTAATTACCCTAAACACAATAACAAGACTTGGGCATTCAATCCGGCGCTCCAGGAGGTTCTAGATCTGGTCGATCAGCCTGACGTTGCGCAGCCTCCCTGGATTGTGAACCAGAAAATAACTTCAGGAGCAGCCAGCGTGATGGCGAAACTCGTGAAATTCCATTTCCTGACGGAGTACATCCCTCCGGCGATCGCGGAGCTAAACGTAAGCCCCAGATTCGTTTCTTTCCCAGCCCTCCCTCCCTTCCCGAGCCCTTCGTCTATCTGCATTCTCAACCCTGTAGACGTCAAACCTCTTCCATTTTTCTCCCATTTCACCATCCGACATTGTGCATTTCATTCCATTTCATTTCTCACCTATCCAACGTGCAGTACACAAAAGGAGGCCCCTGGAGCCTTTCCACACTCCTTGGCCAACCCATATGGCTCTCCTACCAAGTACTAGATTCTTCACTGGGCGTCGGGTCATGGAATGTATCTGGAACCTCCCCAGAGCAAAGCGCTGCAGATGCCGCTGCAGGCGTTGCTGGTGCGGAGGACCTTGACGGGAGCCCCCTCGTGTATTATGACAAGCTGTTCCCGAGTACTCTAGTGGGTGACATTCCGAGCCAGATGGCGGTGTATCAGATCGGAGCAGTTCTCATGCCTTATAACATGACAGCTCTAGGTGAGCCTTTTGTCTTGTGTGCTCCTCCTGGATGTTATGGTACCAATCTGTGCTATGGCTCACCCGTTGGTTATGCTATCCCTGCATTGCCATCTCTTGGCTCGGGTGTTCAGTTTTGTCGAGATGCCTGTGCAATGAGCTCATCCTTGTCTTGTGCATGCCACATGCCGCATCCCACATGCCACCATGCCACCATGCACCATGCCACCATGTGCCATGCCGCCATGCCACCATGCCACCATCCCACCATTCCGCCAGGTGGAGTGAGTCAGAATAGTAGCACATCAGGGGTGTCGAACGGGACAGCATCGCAACCCACAGCTGGCAAAGGCACGAGCAAACCGAGTGGTAAGCCAACGCTAGTCACATGATAAATCTCAAAATTGACTCCAGTCACTTAGGCCGCCTGCCCTCCCTTGTCTCGTTCCCCGCTGTATGCCTCAGAAGGTTGTGCCTAACATAGAGTAGGGAAAGAAAAAACCCATTTGCCTTCTGACCCCATTCATCCTGTCCTGTCTGCCTCCTCAGGTGCAGCTGGCTTTCTTGCTGCTGCCATCGGCCTGATCATGCCACTGCTCGCCCTCACTATCTAGCCATGCGCGTTACAAACATCGCGTTCTCAGATCAGACATCTCATACCGGTAACTCCTCGCGGCTGCCCGTGGGCTGGTTGTGTCACCGCTTGCTCGCCCTCACCATCTAGCTTTGATGCATCTCATCATGAGTCGTGACTCATGCCCCTCCCTTGCTTCGTATTGTCTAGTGTCAAGAAGAGGCCTGTTATTGCCTCCTGGTTTTTGCTGTATAGCGCTGTGCTGGGGAAAAACAGAGGATCAGGCCGCATTGTATCGCATCGCGCTGCATGCCTGTCACACAGCCCAGAGTACGTTGCTTGCGTTCAGTCTTTGGGTGCATGTTTGTGCGTGAGTACAATAGGTATGTTGCTTCGGGGGGGAAAGAGGAGGGGGGAAGAGGGGGGGGGGGGGGGAGAGGGGGGGAGACAAGGCAATGTCTGCCTTAGGTGCTTACGAGTGTGGTTGGATGATTATCCAATTATAGATGTGATGGCAAATGTGGTTGGAGTTATCTTTGAGTTGCTTTCTCATGACTGGTGATGGCACTAATACATTTATGTCAAAGACCACACGTGAAGAGTTGTTTCAGCACATGCTGCTGCAATCCTGTTAGTCCCCACCCCACCCCAGCATGGCAACTGAACTCCCTCCCATGCATGCACATTCATGCATGCAGTTTACCCTTTCTAGATAGGTGTATTGTAGTGCTTCTATGAAAGTTTCTAGAGCGTTTCACCAAACACGCCAGCCATTAAACCGCCACAACAGCAACAGCAGCCCATCTGAAGCATCTGGCCGAAACAGATCTCCAGGATCAAATCAGATCTCGAGCATGAGGCAGGTCCATCTGTGCAGCTGTCCCACTGGCAGCACAGCACGCTGCACCGTCACCCTCAGATGCACCTCCCCCACCTCCACCTCCCCCTCCCCAACCAGCACCTCCCTGTGCCGGCATCCATCCTCCCCCTCCTCGTCATCATCATGTGCCAGCACCCTGCATTTGTACCTGCCCTCCCCCGGTGCTAGGTTTAGCAAGTCCTGCCGTTCCACTGTCATCTGCCAACCACCACCACTGCTTTTACTGCCGCCGCTGCTCCTGCTGCCGCATGAGGAGAAGGAGAGGGAGGAGGCGGAGAGCGATACGAGCACGCGGTGACGCCGCGCTATGAGCACTGCCACGGCCTCCACGTTGCCCTCGCACAGCTGCTGCCGCACCCGCGTGCTCGACACGTGCGTCTCCTCCTCCTCTGCTTCTGATGCTGCTGCTGTTGCTGCGGTTGCACTGTCACCAGCCACAGCACTAGCAGCACCGGCAGCACCGGCAGCAGCGGCACCGGCAGCAGAACCAGCAGCAGCAGGGGCAGGGACATCGGAATCAGCAAGCACATCAGTGTGCATGTGGGCATGGGCGTCTGTGACTGTATCCACGATCATCACATGCAGCCCGTGCTTCGCCCCCAGCGCCACCAGATCGCTCGCGGTGCCTGCTGCTCTGAACCCAAACCGGTAGTTCGACCCTGGGGAAAGCCGAGGAGGAGGGGGGGGAGGGGTCAGGGGGAAGCGGAGGCAGGAAGGCAGTTGCAAATGGGGAGAGATCGAGGCCAAAGAACATACAAAGGTTACCCTCTCTTCCCCCCAAACATGCTTCCTGTCTAGCCCCAAAACCCAATACCCCCCAAAAACCAATACCCAAACCTCGACCCCCGGGCCATGCCTCTCTCGCTCTCTATCTCTGCAACGATCTCTATACTCGCGCACCTGCAACAATCCCTTTCACTCGCAGCTGCTCAGCCAGCAGCACAATGAAATCCCCCGGGGAGAGCGAGCATTTGCAAGCAACGAACCAAGACCCTATGATGCCCCCACCCCACCTGCAACAATCCCTTTCACTTGGAGTTGCTCCGCCAGCAGCACGATGAAGTCCTCCGGAGAGAGCGAGCGGATGCGCGCAAAGTCCAGAAAGAACCCCCCCCTTTCCCCTGCGCCCCTTCTGTCTAACTTTCTAAACCCCAACTCCCAAACCCAGAAACCCCACCTGCAACGATCCCTTTCACTCTTAGCTGCTCCGCCAGCAGCACAATGAAGTCCTCCGGGGAGAGCGAGCGAATGCGCGCAAAGTCCAGAAAGAACTCGCAGATGGGCTGGCCCTCGCAGAACGGCTGCCACAGCTGCAGCACCCTCTTGCGATCACACGGCGCCACCAGGGGGAGCCTGAAAGGTGGGGAGGGCAGAGTAATGGTGCAGGAAACAGGGTTACAGGGAGCAGGCATGCAGGCACGCAGATGGGCTGGCCCTTGCAGAACGGCTGCCACAGCTGCGGCGCCCTCTTGCGATCACACGGCGCCACCAGGGGGAGCCTGATGTGGGAGGGGAGGGACAGGTTGACAAGGAGCAGACATGCAGGCATACAGATGGGCTGGCCGTGGCAGTATGGCTGCCAGAGCTGCAACACCCTCTTGCGATCACAGGGCGCCACCAGGGGGAGCCTGAAGGGGGGAAGAGAGAAGGGGAAAGGGGAAGGGGAAAAAGGGTAATGGTGCAGGGGACAGTGTGACACATGGTGACATAATTACAGGGAGCAGGCATGCAGATGGGCTGGCCGTAGCAGTGCGGTTGCCACAGCTGCAGCACGCACTTGCGATCACAGGGCGCCACCAGGGGGAGCCCGAGGGGTGGGCGGGAGGGAGAGTAATGGTGCAGGGGAAAGGGTGACAGGGAGCAGGCGTGCAGGCAAACAGATGGGCTGGCCGTGGCAGTATGGCTGCCAGAGCTGCAGCGCCCTCTTGCGATCACAGGGGGCCACCAGGGGGAGCCTGAGAGAGAGGGGAGGGGAGGAAGGACGAGGGTAATGGTGCTTGCTGGGGACAGGGTGGGTGACAAGGAGCAGACATGCGAGCATGCAGAAGGGTGGGCTGCAGCTGGCAGTACGGCTGCCACAGATGCAGCACCCACATGCGATCACAGGGGGCCACCAGGGGGAGCCTGAAAGGGGAGGTGGCACGGAGGAAGCGCGACGAGGCGGAGTGAGGAAGAGGAGAAATGGGGGAGAGCGAGGGCAATGGTGCTGGCCGGGGACAGGATTGAGGGCGGTCGAGACACGGGCATGCAGCAGTTGAGATGCAGAGGGCAGTTGCTAGAGGCACACAGACAGACACGCACGCACGCACGCACCTCTTCTCCCAGCCCAGCACCTCGGCTCGGCCATGCCAGCAAACGACAGCATGCACACACTCCTGCTCTTTCCTGCACCTTTTTGTGTGCTTTTTGTGCAGGACAGCATGCACACATTCCTGCTCCTTCCTGCACAAAAGACAAGAGCAGCCGAGAGCAGGCAGAGAGCAGGCAGAGAGCAGGCAGAGAGGAGAAGCAGCAGAAGAACGCACCTCTTCTCCCAGCCCAGCACCTGGGCCATGCCAGCAAACGACAGCATGCACACGCATGTGCCGCCCATGGCTGCTGCCTGCACGGCGAGCGCCCTGTGCCCCACATGCAGCGCGTCAAACTTGCCCAACGCCACTATGCCGCCTGGGAAACATGGGGGGAGGAGGGCGGAGGGTTGGAAAAGGGGGGGGGGGTTGGGGCTTGGCTTGATGGAATCCGCATTCGCCCCACATGCAGCGCATCAAGCTTGCCCAAAGCCACTATGCCACCAGGGGGTCATGGGGAGAGACGGCGGAAGGGGGAAAGAGGGGAATGGGAATGCGCTGGGTTGCTGCAGCACGCATGCCTACGCGCCACCCATGGCCGCGGCGCAGGCTGCAGAGGTTGTACCACTGCAACATAGCACAGCACGCCCTGAGCTGTGACGATTTTTGAGGCACCTCAAAAACCGCGGCGCAGGCTGCAGAGGTTGTATCACTGCAACATAGCACAGCACGCCCTGTGCCCTGTGCCATGGGGGACATTGAACGCCCTGTGCAGCCATGTTAGTGTTACTTTTGAAAATTCTCAAAAGTACCTCCAACATGGCAGCAGAGGTTGCACCACTCCAGCATAGCACGCCCTGTGCTGTGCCCTGGGGGACGTGAATGCCCATTGCCCTGTGCAACGCATCAAATGTGTCCCATCCCATGACACTATGCTGCTGCTGCCTGGGGGAAGAGCGGAGGGGGCGACTGGCGGAACGGAAAGGGGGTGAGGCGGAAGGGAGAAAAGATGGAAGGGCAAATGGGAAGCGCGGAAGGGGAAGTGAGGAGACACTGGGCTGAGTCAAGTTTTGAGTCGACTCAAAACTCGACTCACTACACGCGGAGGGGGAAGTGAGGAGACACTGGGCTGAGTGTGCTTGTGTTTGGTGCTTGGGTGACGTGAGAGGGGGAAGAGGCGAGGGGGGGATGAGGAGGGGTGTTCACCTGCAAGAGGGCGTTCGTCATCCAAAGCCATTTCACTGTGCCACCCGCCCCCATTGCTCATGCTGCTCATGCTGCTAGTGCTACTAGTGCTGTTAGTGCTGTTAGTGCTGCTGTTGCTGCTGCCTCACCTGCTCATTGCCTGTTCACCTGCCAGGGGATGTTCGTCATCCAAACCCATTTCACTGTGCCACCCGGCTCCACTGCTCATGCTCCTGCTAGTGCTGGTTTTGGTGCTGCTTCCATTGCTGCTGCCGTTGCTGCCGTTGCTGCTGGTGCTGGTGCTGGTGCTGGTGCTATTGCCGCTGTTCTTATTGCTCGCAAGAACACCCCTGCTGCTGCTGCCACTCCTCTCCCCCTCGCTGCTCCCAACCCACTCTCTCGCCACCATTCGCACCCCCTCCTCCACGCCCCCCTCCCTCGCCTCACACCGCCCATGCGCGTCCCTGCCACGCCTGCTGTTGCTGCCGCTCATGCCTGTGCCTCTGCACATGCCTGGAGAAAGGCAGTGGAAGAGAGGGATGGAAACGACAGATGAGCTGGACTGACTGCCTTTTTTTTTTTTTTTTTTTTTCCTCCTCTTTTCAGTCGATTCAAAAGTCACCTCTCTCAGAGCAGGGGAAAGGTAAGGGGTTTAGGGCGAAAGAGAGCTAGGGGAACGAGGTCTTTCTTCCAACCCCTAGGAGCCTGCCTAGGACCCTTCCTGAATTTCTAAAAAACCCGTCCTCTGTCTTCGTGCTACTTCCTCCCCCTCCCTCTCCCTCTCCCCATCCCCTTCCCTATCACTCCCTTATTTCCCCCCTCTATCACTCGCCCCCACTTTCCTCTTCCCTTTACCCCTTTCCACTTTCCTTTCTCCCAACCCGCCCTTTCCCCCCACCTTGACCTCCCTCCCCTCAGTTCCCCCCTTTCTCTTCTCCGTACCTCCTCCAGTAACGTTCCAATCCCAGGGCCTGATTAGCCGCCCTGCCATAGGCTTTTCCACGTGCCGAAACGCAATTGGTCCAGACAGGGCTGCTGCGGAATCCCGAAACGAGCTGGTGTGCGAACGCAGCGACGGCAGCGATTGAAGCGACGTTGTCACAGGCGCCATGCGACCGCGAAACGATGAGACACGCAGCTGCGACATCAGGCGACACGAGACGGTGCTGACAGCGGCGACAGGATACGATCGAGAATCCTGGGACGAATCAAATCTCTGATGCAACGGGAATGAACTCGCAGCCGTGAGGGAATGCAAGGCCCGTAAATGCGGGCCCGAGCCGCCACCGCGGTGAGCCAAGGCAAATGCCATGGAGGGTCGAGGGAGTTAATAGGCCACGCTTTGTTGAATTCGTACAACGCGGGGTGCGACGCGGAGGGATTAATTCGGCAAGGAAGGAGGTCCTAAGCGAGAGCCTTATTTCAGCGAGAATGCTGCACAGAGATTTAGCAGCGTCTTTGAAAACGAGAAAATAGCCGTTTGAGAAAAATTGCCAAATAGACACTAGTAGCCTGGCGGCACTTGACGCGAATCACGGAATGAGAAACAAGAACGGTTGAAGGAGTAAACAGAAAATCAAGGGTCACTTTATTTGTCACTCTCTTATTGATTTACAGCGATTTCTCCTAAGGGCCAAACACCTAGTGACGACGACTCGGTGGCCGCAGTAAACGGTGGGGCAATGGAGGAATTCATAGAGATTATTCTGGAGGGAGTGGGGGATAACAGCGTTGACCAGGCAGTGAGGACTCGTTACAGGCAAAAGTGCACTGCTTATAGCGGGAAAACTGCAGCCCGTCGAAACTGGGTGTAGCGCAAGACCGAAGAGTACTGGAATGCATAATGCACCTCTTCTCAATGATCATTTTTCAGGTAGGGCAGGAAAGAAATACAACCGAACAAAAAAAAATGTTTCAAGGTGTGTATTCCGTGTGCACAGGAAACCAGAGCACAATACATGCTTGAACTCGGTGTGCGAGTAGCATGCACAATTAGCAACAAGGCAGCGCTGTTATTCATCCAGAACCTCGACCACATCCACCTTCACCATCTTCCCCGCGCCATCGCGATACCATATCCTTAGCCTCCTTCGGCAATTATTGAGTCAACTCAATATTCGGTCTGTCAGTAACACGCAACTTGCCATCATGCAGCGCTGCTAGTCATCCAGAACCTCCACCACATCCACCTTCACCTTCTTCCCAGCACCATCACCCCCTCCGGTGCCCTCTGCCCCCTTCTCTTCCTCCCGCCGCCTCTTCCTCTTCTCACCAACCATTTCCCCAGCACCAGCAGCAGCAGCATCAGGTTCAAATAGAACCACGTCATCATCGTCATCGTCATCATCCTCCCCTCCTGCCGCGTTCCCTTCTTTCTTCTCCCCGTTCTGTGCCTCTGCTGCTCCAGCCTCCCCAGCAGCAGCAGTGGTGTCTGCTGCTGGCAACTGGCCGTGCAGAATCATTTTGTCAGGATGATCCTCCTCGTTGATATCCTCTCTGTAGTCACGTGACGCAAATGCGGATGTGACACGGAAGGTTACGATTCAAACGTATGTTGAAACAACAGTGTAACAAATGCATAACACACTCCATGGCATGGCACTGCACTTCCCGCCTTTGGCAGCACATGTCGAATGGTTCCAAGGGAAGCAAACAAACCAGCCACAAGAGTCAGGACGTGCAAGAGAATGAAGAACTGCCAACCCGAGCAGGCTGACAGGTCCTTGACGTGTAGTGCTACACCTGCGGGCCTGTGGGCATGCAGTCCTGCGTTTGGGTTGTTGATGGTCGCACCTGTGCTTGATGTGAATGGAGCACTTGAAGTGCTGCAGGTAGTCCTCTACTGTCAGCACTGCTCCCGAGCACAAGGGACCTAGCATGTGCAATGGTATGCTTGGCGTGCCCACCTGTGTTTGGGCTGGTGGCGGTCGCACCTGTGCTTGATGTGAATGGAGCACTTGAAGTGCTGCAGGTAGTCCTCTACTGTCAGCACTGCCCCTGAGGTCACTGGCGTGGGCAGCTCGCACAGCTTCTGCTCACATGAACATGCAAGGGCATGGGTGTGGATGGGTGGGGGTGGGTGTGGATGGACACAGGGGATGGTAATGGGTGTGTGCATGCATGCAAGTGCAGACACATGGTTGGGGGGGCACAGACAAAGGCATGTCGATGGTAGTGCTTTGTGTGTGTGTGTGGACACATAAGGAACACAGTACACTTGCTACATGCAAGGCACACACTGCAATTATGAGAGAAGGATGTGCTGAAGTGTATCAAGGCAGTAAAGCCTCCTGCTCACAACTCCCGTCCACCCCCCCTCTCCCCCCTTCTCCCCCCCTCTCCTCTCTCTTTCCCCACGCCTCTCACCTTGCTGAGGTTAGCCCGGTATCACAGCACCTCAAACCTCCTCCAAGTCCTCCCCTTCTTCGTACACCCCTCATCACCAGCAACCACGCAGCTGATCCTGCCTCCTACTCAACTCCCACACCCCCCCCATCCCCCCTAACCATGCCTCTCACCTTGCCCAGGTTAGCACCTCATCCTCCTCCAGGTCCTCCCTTCCTCACACACCAGTCCACTGCCCACCATCACCATCAACCACACGCACCTCATCCCTGCATCCTACTCACCACCCAGTTCCTCCCCCCCCCCCATCTCCTCCCTTCCTCTCTCCTCCCCCTCGCCATGCCTCTCACCTTGCTCAGGTTCTTGCGGTATCGCAGCACCTCATCCTCCTCCAGGTCTTCTCCTTCCTCGTACACCAGTCCACTGCCCACCATCACCATGGGCTGGGTGGCTGACAGCTGCCGCCGCACCACGCCCTCCACCACATCTGCCAGCGTCGCTGTCTTGGTGTCTAGCTCCAGAACCAGAGGCGTCTGGGGTGGGTGGGTACCGAGGGGGAAATCGTAGATATGTGGATAAGGAAAGAAGCAACATTCCCCTTTAGATACGAAACGCCAATTGCAAATGGTAACCACAGCTGACCCCTCCACCACATCTGCCAGCGTCGCTGTCTTGGTGTCTAGCTCCAGCACCAGAGGCGTCTGGGAGGGTGAGTGCCGGAAGGGTTGATGGTGGGTACGAGGGGTAAGGAGGGCGGGCAGGAAAGAATCTGTTACCCAACTGGCCAATTGCAAGTGGAAACCACAACCTGCCGCACCACGCCCTCCACCACATCTGCCAGCGTCACTGTCTTGGTGTCTAGCTCCAGCACCAGAGGCGTCTGGGATGGATGGATGCGGAGGGGAAAACAGTGGGTTTTGGGGGGGTAAGAAAAGCAGCAACATTCCTTTCGAATACGGAACGCTGATTGCAAGGTATGACCACAGCTGCCGCCGCACCACGCCCTCCACCACATCTGCCAGCGTCGCTGTCTTGGTGCTCACCTCTTGCACCAGAGGCGTTTGGATGGGTGCCGGGAGGGTGGTGGTGGTGGGTCTGGAGTGGGAAGGAAAGGCGAGCGGGAGAATGAAATTGTGCTGCAAATGGTACCCGCGTGCTGCTCTATTGGAACAAAAGCGCATGCTCAGGTTCCAGCCATGCAGAGAAACGGCATTCGTTGTGAAGCCGATCAGCAGACAGGCGGGTAACACATGAAATGCACCGTGCAGCGGCTGACAGCTGGGTGGGTGGATGGATGGGTGGTTGGTTGGCCGGGGAGAGACATGGGGAATGGATGCAAGCATGCCTGGGCCAGCACGTGCGATGAGTATCCCACAGCACACTAAAAAAACTGGTAGATAGAGCGAGCGTTCCGGCAGAGGAGGGTGCGTTGGAGGGTGCGTTGCTTACCCGGGAGCAGACATGGCAGGAGGGGTTGGGTGCATCCATCTCTAGAGGGGCGAGGAGGGCCTTGCGCTGACTGGGGAACTCCGTGCACCACACCATGCTGGTGGCGAATGGGCGGGGAGACAGGAGGGGAGGAGAGGGGGGAGGAGAGGGGGGAGGAGAGGGCGAAGAAGGAGGATGAGGAGGGGTAAGAGAAGGGGAGGGGAAGGGGGAAGGGAGGTGAAAAGGAGGGGGAAGGGGAGTTGTGACAAAGGAAGATGTTGTATTGCGAGTTTGTAATAGCTATAAAAAGACAAATTGGTTGCATGAGGAGGGTGTGAGTGAGAAGGGAGTGGCAGGGTATAGTGAGGGGTAAGGGGAGGAGGGTGAGGAAGTGAGGCGAGATGACGGAGGGAAGGGAGAGAAGGG